TGCAGGTGGAAACCAGAATAAGAGAATGCTCTCTAGCTAGTTCAAAGTTCATTTCAAACAGTCTGTCATGTAGCCGAGCCAGTAACTCATCAGATCTAATTGGGCTTAAATGGTCCATAGGACATCAGGGTACTCTTGAGACACAGTTCAATTGTGAAATGTTCAAATGGTATGAATGGGATGAGCCTAAAGCACCACTAAGTGGCCTGGGCCAGTTTCTCATTCTCCTGACTTCTTTCCCTCCCTCCACCTCCCTTTATGGACTCATGAGGAAAGGCCTACAACCAAGAATGAAAAGGAAAAGATACCTCAGTGTGATGTACCAACATGAGCCAGAGGTAGACATGCTACAAAGCTACAGCCAGAAATGAACTACAGCCTCTCTCAAGGGTGATCCTGAAGAGCACAGGAGAAATAAAATCTTCACAAGGGGCGGACAGATAAGCAGTTATTTCTCATTGTCCACTTTGCTTAGAATGAGAAATTATCAGAGATCAGAATCTTTGCTACTTTCTCAATAGTTACAACTGGTCTGTCCAGTTGTTCAGAGACCTGTAAAGAGTTAGATCTTAGGCCTAGAAACAAGGAAGTTTGGGCAAGAATTGCCCCAGAGCTGAGAATATTTGTGTTCCAAGTGGATAGCCCCATATCAGGGAGGTTCTTAATTATAAAAGGGGGCAGAATGGCCCACTTAATGATTGTCAGTTGTGGCTCTTCTCACAATATGCACCTAACATATTTTCCACTGAATTAGAAGCTGAGACTGCTATGTAGCCATTTCAAGTTCTTTACTCCTGTTGGAAAAAAAGAGAGAACTATGCTGGAATGACAATAATCAAGGCAAAATAGTGTAGTTGCCACATACAAATCAGGGTTAGAAGTGTTGCCTCTCCAGGATGACTACTATACACAATAGAAATTGTAAAGAAGAGATGGATACAATCATCCATAGGTGGGAACAACAGGGCTCAGGTTCTTCCTGAATAAGGGTGTGGTACATCTCATTGAGTAGACAAAAAGATCACACATGAGGAACTGCCTAAAAGCAAGAGACATATGAATTCGGTAGTGAAGGAAGAAGTCATAAATACCAGCTCTAGCTTCAAACCAAGAGAGACAGGCAAGCCCTAAAGCCAGTACCTGTATTCCCTTGCTTGTCTTTTTAAAATTACTTTCTGGAATATAGGATGTGTTGGTATACTACAATGTATCATTTCATCCATAGAGCACAGCACATTGACACAGAATTGTGACAGAACTAGAGGAGGCAAGGACATCATCTGGTGATACTAAACTAGGAAATGGTAGCCTTGAGCCTTCCTCTCTGAGTGTGGTGACTGGAATCTCTTGAAGAGGAGGTCCTTTCTGTTGTACATTAGTTATTTGCATTATATTAGAAATATCTGCATTATATTTGAAATGTTTTTCAAATGGTGTTCATGGAAAGAAGGGCATGTGTGTATGTTGTACAGCCAGTAATTGGAATGTGTAGACTTCTCTTGTTTCTGCTTCCTTCCCAAGATCCATTCCTTTGTGGGAGCTGTCCTTCTGGCACTCCACCTGATTCTACGGAGCTGTCAACCACAGGACTCCAGAAACAAGCTAAGCCAAAATAATCAGGCTCTCTTTTCTAAGAATTCAATCATGAACAGGTATGCACAGAACTAGAAGGCAGTTAGAACTGAGTCATCTGATGGCAGCTCCTCACATAGTGAGCACATGAGTTCCCACTATATAGATCACCTAAATGCCCAAGTCCCTGGCTTCCCTAGGCCTGGTTATTCAACATGCCATTAAGTAGGTCTTCCAATAAATCCACTCAGCTTTCTTTTTCCTCTATTTTTCTTTCTCACTTCCTCTTTTTTTCTTCCTTCCTTTCTTCCTTCCTTCCTTTCTTTCTCCCTTCCTTTCTTTTTCTTTCTTTCTTTCTGCTTTAGTTAGCAAGAGTCTTTACTGTTGCTTGTAGCTAAAGATTAATTAATATATGTATTATCAGGCTTCTCATGTTTTTTTTCACAGTATTTTGAAAGTTTAAATATGCATATAGATCATTTAGCTATTAAAGAGGATATTGAACTTGGTGGACAGAAAAGGTCTATTATGAAAAGCATGACTGTATATCCTAGATAGGATTAATGGCAAGAGAATACTGCATAGGGTGTTGTTGTTGCTGTTGATGATGGTGTTGTTGATGATGATGATGCTGTACATCAGATATCGTCTCTAACTCTTCCAGCACCAACCCCAACTCTAACGTAAGCTTGATAAAATCTCTCCAGAAAGAGGAAAGCAAAAAAGAGAAGGAAAATATGAGTCAGTAATGTCAAGGGTAGACTGCACCTAAGCAGAAGTGGAAGTCTGGAAAGGGCCAAATTAGCACAGCCAAAGGGGACATCCCCTTTCTTCTATTTTTCTTCACACAGCCTTTAGTGTGGTATACAATATATAGGCAGTATAAGTTTTAAATCTATAGATAGATAGATACACATATACATATAGATACAGATATAGATACAAGCATGTGTGAAAAGTCAGTTCACATCTCTGAACAATTGCAAAAAAGTTGAACTGGATGATTTCTCAACTCTCTCAAACCTAAAGCTGTGATTTTTAAACTTTTTCTTTAAATAGTGACTGTATTTCTATGGACTAAACAATAAATCAAATATTTGGAATTCTAATTCTATCTCAAATTTACCATCTTAGGGAGTAAACACATTCCATCTGTATCTCGGTTTTCTCATCAGTAAACCAGAAATGATTTTTAATCCAATTAAACTAGAATTAAAGAACTAATTTATATACACTATCAGTGTCTATATATAACAAGATTTCTCCATATGTATGGTTTGATTATCTCTGTATAATACACATAGACACACACATCACTTTTTAACTCTGCCTAGATTCCATGAACATGTAACAATCTCTACAAAAAGAAAGGGTTTAGCAAATTCCTGTGGTGACAAGCAGTACGTGTAGCAAGCCATTTGTGCCTTTTTCTTCTCTCTAAAACACTGCTTATCATGTTTTATGTATTTACCCATATATTTCTCTGTAAGCACAATTAACAACCTTGTTCTCTGGTACAGAGTTCAACAAGCAGACCCCTGAGAGGACAATGCACGGCCGTCCAGTCCATAAATGATTATCAGTGGAAACGTACTCTAGGCTCCCATGGATGGGAAGGTCATGGTTGGCTCTGGAGGATGCATTCTCTGTATTTTGTTGGCTTCACTTGTACACTCTAAAATCATATTTCCCAATAGGGAAGCTGTCTCAGTCTGTGTAGGGGTCAATAAAAACCTTTCTGTGATGAGAGCATACTCCATATGTTTAAGTGTTATTCCCAACACCTTGCCCTGTGATGTTCACATTATTTCCTATGTTAGTCTTTTCATATTGATTATAATTTACCAGTTATTTAGACCCAGTAGTTTTTCATGTTTTAATTATCCCCTCTGTGATTATTTTTTCTCTCCATTTCCAAATGTTCTTTTCTCTCTTCAGTGTTTTTTTGTTGGTGTTCACTTTCATGAACTTTCATTTCATTCTGGTAGAATATTTTAGTGACTTCCAAAATGGAATGATTGCATTCCAGGAGAGTGTGCAAGATAATTCATTAAGGTACAGAAAGAAAACACCAGTGCTACTGTTCAGATTTATTTTGACTTTATCCTTTAAAAACTCATTTAAATATACGTAATATAATGTTCATAGTATACTAGGTCAGAAGTGCAGGTGTGTAATAAACGACTAAATATTTTAAAAAATAAAAACACTGGTTATCAGACAAATACTTGTTTGTCCTACTGAACTATATACCTAATGAGTTAGTGTATGTGGTCTATATATAGGCTTAATGATAGAGGTTTGTATGTTGAAATTCTGCTATTGTGCGTCTTTAATATAAAATCAACAAATGTTGTTTTAGCCTTTAAATTAGAATTTTAAAACACCTCATTCATCCTGATCTGTAACCAATAAAAACTAATAAACCTAGTAGAATGTTAGTAAATTCCTACTTAAGTCTCCTGACATTGTCATCTTTGGAAAGTTTACATTGGAGCTTTAACCAATCTAAAAGCTATGGTGTAATTCAGAGTTTATCTCTCCCATGCCATTTCCTGAGAATAAAACATAGCACAAGTAAGCATTTTTCACCAGTGAGCATGCCTAACCTTTAAAGAACAAACTAATTAACTGACAACTAAGATGTACTAAATGCCTTGATATCCATATATATATATATATATATATAGAGAGAGAGAGAGAGAGAGAGAGAGAGAGAGAGAGAGAGAGAACTCAATATCCTGCTTTGAATCCAGGCATGGGAACATAAAGAACAGGAAACACAAAGATAAAAGTACAAAGAACTCATGCGACGACCTCAGATCAGTGGCACTCCGTCAAAAATCCTCAGTACGAAATTATCTGAGAACTACAATATTTAACAGTCCTTTTGATTTCAAGGTTAAAAAAATGACATCTCCGTACTGCTACGCAAACCCGCACTCATCCCCAAATAATTCGTGTGTCAATGTTGAGATAAGGAAACCAAGCTCAAAGTCCAGGCACTGCAGAGCGGAGGTAGGTTGCAGCAGGGGGTGCTGGTTGGGGACAGGAGCTAGTACAAAGAGAAGACAGAGTGGGCTGACTTTCCTCTCTACTTTTATACTGTAATGTGCTCATCCTTGTCCTATGACTGGGAACTTCAACTGTTTGGGGCAAATGGGTACGTGTTCTAATTCCTTCATTGATATTTAGTATCACTCTTGTTCTAGAATCTGTCCTGTAGGGCAACAGTTGATTCCCAGAGCAGGGTGACTATTGACCCTGCCTCCAACCATTACACTGCCCGCTAGATCCACGGCTGATGGAAGCACTTGCTGGAAACTTTCTAGGAGGCTGCAGCTCTAGAAAAGAAAATCCTCCCAGCAGGGCTCGGAGTTCAGTTGGCAATGCTGAGAGAAGAAGACAAGACGCTATTAATTACTCACAGTTCGCCTCCAAGACGGGAAGCACTAGGGCGAGGCACGCCAGCAGCGCCCCAGAGCGCCCACCCAGGACCCTCATGGCGAAGCGCGCGGAGGCGCGGGCGGGGACGGTGGAGCGTCGCGGCGGGGACCTTTGCGCTCGGCGTGCCGCGAGGCTGCGACTGGAGCGCCGCTGTCTGAAAACTGCGGCGCGGCGGCGCCTGCGAGCGAGCGCGCCCGCGGAGCAGCCGAGCCGGGGGCGGAGGGGACGGCCCGCTCCCAGCCCCCAGCCCGACGGGGAAGTGATAACAAGGACATTTCCTGGAAGCTTTTCTTTTCGGAGCTGGGGGCAGGGCTCAGGGAGAGCGCTGAAGGCCTAGTAAACACTGTCGAGACATCCTCCTCGCCCTTTCCCAAACTCCAGCGTTTCGTTTCGGTGTCCGCAATGTGAAGTTTGCCAAGGAAAAGGGGAAGCAAACGCAGTAAAACACACACACACGCAAAACACAACCTCCAGCGAGCCGGAGTGGAAGGCTGAGTGGCCAAGAATACTTTGAGGACTCAGACCTGGCTTAGAAGGAAAACATCTTGAGAGACTGACATTGGGGATGAAGATGTTAACCAAAACCTAGAAGCGAAATGAGAACTCTAGGAAGGCTACAGAGAACAGAGATAATGGAATCAAATGTGATAGTTTTGATTGTCTACATTTTTGTTTTGTTCTTGAATTTATAGCGTAAAAGAACTATAGCAAAAAAAATGTTTGGGGAAAAAAGAGAATGTATCAAATTCTATCACCTTCAAACAGCTCGTTTTTGGTTTTTGCGTGTTACCTCTGCTTTTTTGTGCTTAGGCAGTGCATTTGAAATATGTTACTTAATGTTTAAGGCTGCCTTTGGAGCTAAACCGCCTGGGTTCAAATGGCAATGCTCTGCAGCTTACTAGTTGTATCATCCGTAAAATGGAGATAGTAGTAGGTTTTCACGGTGTTGACAGAAGAATTTAAAGAGATAACACACGTGAAGCAATTAGTGTGTTAAAGAGTAGCACATAGTTAAGGCACACTTACTACTATCATTCCAGTATTTCTGCCCAGTGAACAATATCAATTGATTTCCTATGTGTGTGAGTGAAAGTCAATAGGCTGATGATCTTTCAAGGGTGTATTCCAGCTCTAGCTTTCTGTGGTTTTATGATCCAGGTGGTTGGAATTTGATATTAGAGTCACTTTTTCTAAGAAAATTTGCAAAGGAATTGTTGAATATATCCATATTCTTCCCTCTTTTAAATTCTATTCCTTCTTGCTATGTCTGAATCTACATGTCAATCTATTCACCACTTTATTCCCACCCCAAATGATTTAATTATAAATATAATTCTAATCTCGGTAGAATTGTTCGGTGGGCTAGTAATCAGAACATAAAACAAAACGACCTTTAAATACTATATTTAATTATTGAATATTTAAATGCATTTAGGCCATGAGTCTTTCCTCACTTGTTAGGAAGAATTAGAAGTAGAATATCAATTTTGAGTTCTCAAAATTTCACGAGTGAAAACTTCCAAAATCATGAATCAACAGCATTCATAACAAATCATCTCCCATACAGACATTAAAAAATATAAAGAGTATGAAGAAAGAAATGTTGGAGAAATGCAAGGTACCTAAAAGAAAAATCTTGATCTTTCAAAGACTCCAACTGAATGTGAAGTTTTAAGTCATTTTAAGACTACAAATGTACATCACAGTGCTAATAATAGTTGTCAATGTGTCCTACCTACACTGTAATGTTGAACTTTGAAAAACAATACCCTGAAATGTTTAAAATGAAATTTAATAATACATCTTTGGATAAAATTTTCAAGTTTTTAATTTATTGCATAAGTTCACTCTGTGAAGATGATTTTGCCTTTAGCTCAATATTGATTAACATTTGGTCAATTTCACTTGGCCAAAATTTGTTTTCAGTATACTTTTAAATATGCCATTAAATCTTATTCAAAATTTAACTGCTAATCTAATCCCTTTTCCTAGTCCTAATTCTAATCCCATTCCCTCACCCAGTTTTACATTTCTCCATATAATCTTCTACTGATATATTGTCCCATTTACTTATTATGTCTATTATCTGCATCCTCATCTCTCTCCACCATGTCAACTAAATATTGGCACTAGCCATCTGCCTCTACAAAGATTAAGTCACTAGTCACTGCAGCCGCTGACCTTCAACACACCCTGAAAGGAGTTCCGGGTAATCAGGAGTGAGGCACTCTGTGCTCTGGGAAAAACTGACAGAACAGGCCTTCAGATAGTTAGATAATTTCAGAAGATTTTATGAGCCCAAATTCTTGCATCTTCTCATATCTAGAAAAGCAGTAAAAATCATTAACAGTGACATCTGCTCCTCGTCACTAGCAGCAAGCCTCTGCCAAAATGTGTGCTTGACTGCATGTACCCCCCTTCACTAAAGTCATATATAATACTGACCTTCCCCCCTGCCTCTTTGGAGCAGTGCCTCAGAGTTATCTGAGACGCTCTTTCCCAGGCTATAGTACTCATTTTGCTCCCAATAAAACCTAACTTGCAACTCGCATGTTGTGCATTTTTTTTCAGTCAACAACCACTAGAATGTAAAATCCATGAGGGCAGGAATGTTTTAATGTTTTGTTCACAGCTATATTCCTGGTGCCTAGAACAGTGACTGGTACATAAACATTCAACAAAATTCAGTTTAACAATATAAGTCTGGGAGGGGATTTCCCTGGTGGCACAGTGGTTAAGAAACTGCCTGCCAATGCAGGGGACACTGCTTCGAGCCCTGGTCCAGGAAGATCCCACATGCCGCGGAGCAACTAAGCCCGTGTGCCACAACTACTGAGCCTGCGCTCTAGAGCCCGTGAGCCGCAACTACTGAGCCCATGCGCCACAACTACTGAGCCCTCATGCCACAACTACTGAAGCCCATGTGCTTAGAGCCCGTGCTCCGCAACAAGAGAAGCCACCGCAATGAGAAGCCCGTGCACCGCAGCTAAGAGTAGCCCCTGCTGGCTGCAACTAGAGAAAGCCCACGTGCAGCAACCAAGACCCAACACAGCCAAAATATATATATATAATATATATATAATATATATATAATATATATAATTATATATATATATGGGAATATTTATGCCCAAATATCAACAGTGATCATTTTCAGTCGTGGGGTTATGGATCATTTTCTTTTTGCTGATTTATGTATTTTACTTTTCTACAATAATCTTTTAATATTTGCTTTGTAAAAACAAACAAATACTAAAGTAGTTAAATCACAGGCATTGAGGACCTGTCTTGTTTTATTTGTTTGTTTGCTTTAGATAGAGTGATTTTTATGGTTGTACTTTAAGAATGTTATTTGTTAAATGCTTACAAAATGGATCAGATTAGAAACCAAGTAACATTTATACAAGAGATAACAAGTGTTGGCGAGGATGTGGAAAAAAGGAAACCCTTGTTCACTGTTGGTGGGAATGTACACATCAGTACAACCATTATAGAAAACAGTACAGAAGTTTCTCAAGAAATTAAAAATAAAACTACCATATGATCTGTAAACATAGAGTGTTGCCCACGATTCCAGTTCTACAAGGATCAAGTCATTAGCCACTACACTCACTGACTTACAAATACATGCTGAAAGGAATTCAGGATAAAGTGGTCTGTGTTTTGGATCTATGGGCCCCTAGATAGTTAAGAAGTGTATCTAAGGAAGAATTTCAATGACCCCAGATTCTTGCATCTTCCCATATATAGACGAGCACTAAAATCCTTAACTGGAGATATATGTTTATGTGATTAGCAGTAATCTTTTACCAAGATGTATGCTTGACTACATGTATTTTCCAGCCAAAAAATTCATATATATATGAACCTCTTCAGAGCAGTTCCTCAGAGCTATCTGAGAGGCTGTCTCCTGGGCTACAGTCCTCAGTAAGTCCTGAATAAAACTCAACTCACAGCTGTTATGTTGTGAGGTTATTTCCCAGTCAGCAGATCTGACAATTTCACTTCTGGTTATATATCCAAAGGAAATGAAATCACTCTCTTGAAGAGACATCTGTACTCCCAAATTTATTACAGCATTATTTACAAGAGCCAACAATGGAAAAAACAACCGAAGTGTCCATCAACAGGTGAATGGATAAGGAACATGTGAAATCTATCTATCTATGTTGCACATTTATGTATGGCAGTAGGGCATTATGCTAAGTGAAATAAACCAGACAGAGAAAGACAAATTCTGCATGTAATCACTTACATGTAGAGTTTTCAAAAAGTAAAATTCGTAGAAACAGAGAGTAGAATGGTGGTTTCAGGGGCTGAGGGGTGGGGAAATGAGGAGAGGCTGATAAAAGGGTACAAACTTTCAGTTATAAGATGAATAAGTTTTGAGGATCTAACCTATAGCATGGTGACTATAGTTAATTATACTGTATTGAATACAGTATAATTTGCTAAGAGAGTAGCAAATTCTCACACACAAAAAAAAGAAGAAAGAAGGAAAGGTAACTATGTGAGGTGGTGGATGTGTTAATTAATTTGATTGTAGAAATCATTTCACAATGTATACATATACGTATACATGTATACATACATTTTCACATATATCAAAGCATAAGATTGTACACTTCAAATATATTACAATTTTATTTGTCAATTTTACCTCAATAAAACTGGAGAAAAAAAAGTAACCACGTGACACTTAGGATGCAAATTCAACAAACTCTGGGAGATGAAACAAGAGTCTTAATTAGGATGATGACAGCAAGATTGTGTTTTTCATTCAGAACAAACTAGGTTGTACTGTAGTCAAACAGCCACCAAATTATAGCAGCTTAAAACAAGCGTTTATTTCTTGCTCATAGGAAGTCTACTACAGGACTCTCTAGGCAGCTGTCTTCCATGTGTTGGCTCAGCATCCCATGCTGTTGTTTTTTTTTTTTGCGGTACGCGGGCCTCTCACTGCTGTGGCCTCTCCCGTTGCGGAGCACAGGCTCTGGACGCGCAGGCCCAGCGGCCATGGCTCAAGGGACCAGCCGCTCCGCGGCATGTGGGATTCTCCCGGACCAGGGCACGAACCCGCGTCCCCCTCATCAGCAGGCGGACTCTCAACCACTGCGCCACCAGGGAAGCCCCGTGCTGTTTTTATATTGTAGTACTTCAGAGTTAAAGTAGGCTTCCACAGTTACCATTGCAAGGGATGATAGGACATGGAGAATTGTGGACCAGCTCTTAAATGCTTTCACCAAGAAGTGATATAACCACTACACTCACATTTCACTGAACAAAGCAGGTCCCATGACTTCAAGAAGGTGGGAATAACTATCACATGTGCTATCACATGTGACTGTGGGAATAACTATCACATGTGAAAAAGAGAACTGGAAATAGTAAGCAGCACATATGTCTACCAAACCACTTAATATATTGAAAAACTAATAGTCAGCTAGTTAACTAACTGACCAACTGTATGTTGGTACCAGAAATGTTTGGTAATGTATCACTAACAGAATTAAGGAAGACATGAAGTAGAACAGGGGTTGAGTATAGTTCCAGAAATGCTCAAGGATAGTAAGTATAGTAGGGCTCTTCAGGCACAGAAATAGTTATTAGACCCTCCAAGAGAACATGTTTTTTAAAAGGGAAAACAGAGGGATAAGGCCAGATCTTAGAGAATACATATAGGAAGATGAAAGAGGAATAACCAGTGAGATCAGAAGATAACCATAAGAGTATATAATTGTGAAAAGCCAAGGGAGGAAAGAATTTTAGAAGAGTTAACTATATTAAATGTAGTTACAGAGGTATTATAGTGTCTGGACAGGACAGTCTGGGCAGAGACAGTCTAGCACTGATGAGGAAGGGCCGGTTTAGTTAGGAAAACCATTTGAGGTCATACAGCCTTGAGCAACTGGAAAGAAAATTGAAGTTATCAAGGCAGGACAATGAGAATAGTGAACAAGATCCCTAGCAGTTTGGAGACAGAGGTAGGGGGATATATACCATAAATATTTATGGGACAGGTGACACCAACTTCAAAAATCTGCTATTATTTGTTAGAAATTGCACCTGAGCTTTATTTCTCTCATTTCATCACCTTAGCAACCCTGCAAAGTAGGTATTTTCATTGTCATTTTACAGATAGGGTACTTGAGTTCAGAGCCAGTAAGCTGCAAGAGATGTATATGTGTTTGAATTAGGGTTACATGAATTAGTAAAAGACAGAAAATAATTTTTTTTTTTTTTTTTTTTTTTTTTTTGCGGTATGTGGGCGTCTCACTGTTGTGGCCTCTCCCGTTTGCGGAGCACAGGCTCCGGACGCGCAGGCTCAGTGACCATGGCTCACGGGCCCAGCCGCTCCGGGGCATGTGGGATCTTCCCGGACTAGGGCACGAATCCGTGTCCCCTGTATCGGCAGGCGGACTCTCAACCACTGTGCCACCAGGGAAGCCCAGAAAATAATTTAAAAACTAGATCTACCTTAATCCCAAACCATTATTTTCTCGTGGATACACTGGGCTTCCCAGGGCCCTCTCTCCTTTTACCAGGATTTGAAAATATATATTTAAGTGGAGACTAAATGGACACACGGGTCCCTACATATAATGCATTCTTTTTTTTTCTATAGGAATGTACTTGTCATTTACTTATTTCCAAACAATATAAAGGAAAAGCAGATATTACATATCTCTTTAAATAAAATAAAGCATGCTACAAAACAGCCAGTAGATCATGCTCTCCATCTTGCAGAAACCAAATAGCTAGCAATCTATGTATTTAAAAATCCTGGAAAGAATATACATCAAAATATTAACACGTTATCTTTGGGTGGTGAGTGTGAGATCTCATTTTCTTCATCTTGTTCCTTTTTCAGCCTTTTTCACACTTTCTACAATGAGCATATTATTTCTTCTATAAACAACCCCACACACAACAAATATCATAAATTTCCATTTCACAGTTTATGTAACAAACAGCAATAAACGTTATAGAGATTAAAACTTCACTCTCATCTGAACTATTGGATAGTTAGCAAATGAGTTTTCCCCTCGTTCTTAACTTAATTGCCCCAGTGTATTGTTTCTGTAGTTGTGCAGCCAGAGTTGGCTGGAATTCCACAGGATCCTCATCCTTGCTTCATGAAACAAAACAAAACAAAACATGCACAAGACCTGAGATCTCTGGATCTCAGTTGGGGCTGGAGACAGACGAGGTGCAGCACTCTCACACAGTTTGGATGGGTATGCAGATCGGTCTTAGCCTAAGATCTGTCGGAAATGCCTCAACTCATCTCTAGACGCTTCCGTTGCCTAGTTACGAGAACCACCTTCAGCTCCCCCTCCCCATCAGTCTACAAGACCACGCCCCCTTCTCCCTCCCACCTCTCCGGCGGGGGCGGGGAGCCGGGCCGCTTTAGCCACTCAGAGCCCTCTGCGGCGGGCCGTCGAATGTTGATTGGAGAAGTCCATGGGCGGTGCTTGGGGAGGGCTTTCCGCGCCTGGGAGGAACGTCAGCACGTTGACGCGGGGGTTTTCTCTGGTCGGCCCCGCAAACCCTTCCCGGGTCTGTGAAACTGCGCCTTCGGCCTCGCTGTACCTGGGCGAGGAGCGCAGTATTCCGCTCGCTGGTCGGCGCGGTTATTGGCCTAGGTTCTCGGACTGACCGCCCTCACCTCCCTCCCGGCCTCTCCTCCGGGCTCATCCTCGTCAGGGGCGCCTCGCAGCGACGGCGGCCCCCCAGACTCGGCCCAGGACAACTAGCGGCCCATCTCCGCTCCGGGCTCGGATGGGAGGTGGCGGGAGGAGCGGCCTGGGATGTTCAGTCTGATGGCCAACTGCTGCAGCTGGTTCAAGCGGTGGCGGGAGCCCGTCAGGTAGGCTGGAGCCGGTTGGCCGGGTGTCTTCCTAGGGGAGGGGGACAGCTGCGCCCCAGGGGTAGGACGGGGCGCCGCCTGTCCTATCTGCGCCTGGACGAGTCTCCCAGGCCGCAGGGGATGCTTTCCCTCCCAGTTTGATATATCCCCTCAGGGAGCGATAGGAGAACGTAGACTTAATGTTTAGTTGCAATTAAGTTCTCGTCTGTAATGCTTATTATTGTTATAATTTAAATGGGTACTAATTTCTTAAAAAGTCGTGGATTTTGTGTGTGTGTGTGTGGAATTGTGTATATTTTTCCTCTGAAACTTTTGTAATGGGAATTTTTTTTTTAATAGGGAAGAATGGAATATAGTTTTCATAACATCCACAAACCCCTTACCAACACACACATTTTGTTTGAGAACTTGGGCTTGAAATCTGGCTGCACTACTTAATAATTATATGACTTAACCACTTTTGGCCCCATCCTCCTCATATTGAATGAGAATGATAGTATTTATGCTTTAGGAGTTTTGTATTAAATGAGAATAACTGATGGAAAGTGTTCTTAACTGTAGTGTAGCTTCAATTTTTATATGAGATTAAGCCCTTTATTTGAAAGAGTCCACTTCTTGATGTTTCATTTTGAATGCTAGATGTATTAATATTTAGAGCCTGCTACTTGTTATTCATTGATTTGCTGAGAAAATACCATGTGCCAGGCACTATGCTAGGAAGAAGTCAGTGAAAATGATGCTTTTAAAATTGAGCTGCTCAACCAATAAAGAAACCTTAAGTTCGTTGGTCTTTATAAATAATGTTGATTTTTTTATAATTCTACTTTAGAATTAGGCCAAGGGTAAATTATAGCAAAAGTTTTGGGTTTTTCAATCATTAGCATTTCAAATAAGTATTTGCCATAAGGGTGAACTATCCTTTAAAGAATGGTTCTGAAAAGCTACACTTATAAGGAAAACTATATGCCTATATTTGGAAATTTGCTTTAAATGAAACTTTTGAATTCTTCTCCCATTATTAACTCTTAAATGGATGTGAATCTTTTAGATATAAGTGATGTGATCAACTTTTAAGAGTCAAAGATGTGTTTGGGTGTGTAGACTCTGATTTAATTTGTTTTAATCATGTTCTGGTCTGATTGCCCAGTCTCTACTAAGATGGGAGGGTTCATAATAGATGGCCCTTTATGTTTTTCTCTATGTCTGGTTTTTAAAAAATATATTTTTTATATTTTAAAAAATATATTTTTATTTTTGTAAGAGAGCACAGTAGTAGCATGTGTCCTTTTAACTAAAAACACTCAAAAAATTTGCACTCCAAAGGGATTTTCAATTTAATTTATCATTCTTTGTGTTTGCTTCTCCCAGTAGCTATAGTATAATAGTCTCTGGGATGATTAAAGAAAAGACAGAGTTCAGAGAACAGAGGATGTATTGATTTCCAAGTAGAACAGATAACTGGATTTGATTAATAAAGCAGAATTGAAATTTAACCCTATAACTCAGTTTATTTTCTTCTTTAATAAGTAGTAGCATCAAGATCTGAGCTGTCCAATAGGGTAGTGACTAGTTGCATGTGGCTGTTGAGCATTTGAAATGTGGCTAGTCAGAATTGAGATGCTGTAAGTGTATAATACAAAGTGGATTTTGAAGATTTAATATGCAGAAGGGAAAAAGGTAAATTATCAGTCTTTTCTTCAGTTTGATTACATGCTGAAATGATAACTTTTGCATATACTGGATTAAATAAAATATAATATGTACTTTATTTTCACCTTTTATTTTCATTTTTTAAAAGGCAGTTACTAGAAAATTTAAACTGGAAAATTTAAACTTATATGTGTGGCTTGCAGTGTATTTTTATTGGACCTCACTGATCTAGATCATGGCATAATATGAAGGACATGGGTAAAATCTCTCAATGTTGGATAGAGCTAACTACTGTCAAAGGACTTAAAAACAAATTGGGTTACACTTATCTTTTAAGTACCTTTGTTCAATACCTGGTTCATAATAGTGGCTGAATAATATTTGCATAGTATTTTATGTAGTTTGATTACTCTTTAGCAAATCCTTAAGTAAATATTAAGGAAGTAGTCCATTTACTGGAATAAATAAGAGGTGAGCAAGCTGATTTAAAAAATATATCAAATTTTGTGAGCTTAGGTATTTGTTCTGTATTTTTTAAGTTTTAGGCTGTGCTGTTCCTTATTGAGATTCCTCTTCATGTTTTTATACATATATATGCATATATATTTTTTGGCTGTATTGGGTTTTTGTTGTGCGCGGGCTTTCTCTAGTTGCGGCGAGCAGGGGCTACTCTTCGTTGCAGTGTGTGGACTTCTCATTGCTGTGGCTTCTCTTGTTGCGGAGCACACGCTCTAGGCACGCGGACTGCAGTAGTTGCAGCACGTGGGCCCGGTAGTTGCAGCACGCGGGCCCTAGGGCGCGTGGGCTTCATTAGTTGTGACTCACGGGCTCTAGAGCACAGGCTCAGTAGTTGTGGTGCATGGGCTTACTTGCTCCATGACATGTGGGATCTTCCCTGACCAGGGATTGAACCCGTGTCCCCTGCACTGGCAGGTGGATTCTTAACCACTGCACCACCAGGGAAGTCCCCCACGTTTATATTTTATGAAGATATGTTTGTAAGTGTGAGAAGTGAGTGTGTGTAAGAGAGAAGATGATCATTATTAATACACTATGTTCTGAGATTACTTTGCTGACTTAACTACTGTATACTGCACCCTTTGAATTTACCCACCTGTTCTCACTTAGATCCTCTCCCAACGAGTATATTATTCTAGGGACTGGGATCAGGGATTAGATGGCATATTCAGAACGTGTGATAGGGACAAGGCAGGAGTCAGAGGTCAAGAGTTAAAAGTACCACTCTAGGTCAGGAGTCAGACCAGGATGCTAGGGAATTCAGGAACACTGTATCTGCTGTTGTTAACCACCAGACAGAACCTAACGTAGGCTCTGCAGCTATGTAAAATTAACCTTGAATAGACTAAAAGCTATACTCACAGATAAGTGGCTTGCTCCTGTAGAAGCAGTGCACTATAGTGTTTTTTTTTAACTTTTTATTTTGAGATCATAATACAGTGATCAAAGCTAAGGGATTTACTTTGGTACTGTACTATTAACTAAATTATAGATTTTATTCTGAGCTCACTCGTTTTAACATCTAATGCTTTTTTTCTCCCTGTCCAGGATCTAATCAAGGATTCCACATTGCTTTGTTGTGTCTCTGTTCTCTCTCAATCTATAATAGTTATGTAGTTTTTCCTTGTCTTTCATAACCTTGAGACTTTGAAGAGTACCTGTCAATTGTTTTGTAGAATACCCCTTACAAAGATGTTGCTGCATAAATGGGTAAAGGAAATACCATGGAGGTGAAATGTCCTTTTCAGTACGTCATATCAAGGGGTACATGATTTTGATATCTCTTATTACTGCTGCTGTTAACCTTGGTCACTTGGTTATTGTGGTGTCTGCCAGATTTCTCAATATAGTGTTTTGAGTCAAACAGATTTGCATCTGAATCTTAGGAGTTTTGGCACTTTCCCCCCAGTCAAGTGTGGATAATTTTTGTTTTACAACATTTTGAGAAAGAAAATGTATGCAAGTACTTGATGCTTTGCACATAGTAGTTACTCAGTAAATAATACCTCTGATCTTAGGAGATAAGTGCTGATTAGTAGGTTACCTTCTTCAATTCATTTTATACTTATCAGTATAGATAACCTTCCTTTGCTCTCTTTCTGTTAGTGGAAGAAGGGTTCCTTTTTCTTTCCAAGTCTAATTCTTACACCTGTGCACTTAATTCCATTTCTTCCCATTTCCTGGGAACTTTAGGGGTTCAGCATTCAGTCAGAGATCACAGAAAGAACTTCTGGGATACAAGAATAAACCTACACTTTTATCCAAAAATTTATTGTCCAATTTTATCATCAAAAATACAAAATCTCTCTCTCTTCTGTCTTCAGAGCTTCGCTTCTGTTCTTCCTTTAGTATGTAAACATGCTCAAGCCTCTCTTACCTAAAAAATAAACCAAATTAAATGTTTCTTAATGCTGCTGTAACAAATTGCTATCAACTTAGTGACTTAAACAAGTTTATAATCCTACAGTTCTGAGATCAGAAGTCTAAAATGGGTCAGCAGGATTGCTTGCATACTTTCTGGAGGGTCTAGGGGAGAATCTGTTTTTCTTGCCTTTTCCAGCAAAGAAAGAGGCTGCCTGCATTCTTCGCTTGTGACCCCCTTCCTTCATCTTCAAAGCCAACATCATAACGTCTTATCATAATGTCTTTTCTCATCTGTGCGCTCCTGCTTCCTTTTTATAAGGAAGGACTCTTGTAATTACATCGGGCCTACCTGGATATTCCAAGATAAGCTCCCCATCCAAGATCCTTTAGCTTTATCACATCTACAAAGTTCCTTTTGCCACGTAAGAAAACATAGTCACGGGTTTTGGGAATTAGGATGTGGACATCTTTGGGAGGTTGTTATTCTGTGTCTACCATCCTAAACAACCCTGTCCCTGCAGCCACTACCCTTCCTCCTTCCCTTTACTCCACACTTAACAATTGGCAATGTATGAGTGGTACCTTCTCAGCTTCCTCCCTTCTCAAGCATTCCTTAACTTCCTGCGGTAGAAGGCTTTCACCCAGACCCTTCAGTTTTTCTTGCTACACCAGATGCTGCCTGGTTATTAAATCCAATGGATGCTTTTCAATCTTTTGGCATCAGTTGACACTTAAGATCACTCTCTTCTTGGAATTCTCTTATTTCTTTTTCCTGAATTTAAAATTTTTTCACCTTTCCGCCTCTTTCCTTTTCTATCTCTTTTTGCCAGTTAGCCTTTCTTCATCTGACTCCCAAGTTTGCTTCAGGTTCTGTCTTCAACTCTCTTTTCTTCTTCTACCTATTCTCCCGTTATGGTCAGTCGCACCATATAGAGAGACTTCAGCTACCACCTCAACATTGACTCTCA